AAAGGGCACGGCAGTGAGCAATGCTAGTTTTTTATGGTAACAGTGGAACGTACGATACAGCACAGGAATTCTGCAAACGAGGCTCAGTTTGCCATCATAAATCAAATCATCCTCGTTTGTTTCAAACAGAAAACAAAATGAAAGATCACAAGGAAAAATTTGCAGGTCTATGTATAGGGTAAGAGCGGGGAGAGTGGGACAAGTTGGATAGCTCTTTCAAAGAGCCGGCATAGGCACGATGGGCTGAATGGCCTCCTTTCTGTGCTATAAGATTCTCCGATTCTATGAAAGCACTTAGCACTATGTAGAGTGTAACACCATCAGCTAGTTTTACGATGGCTGAAATATGCACTTAAATGTATGAACAGTAACAGAAAAAAATAGTTTCAGTGGTATGGTTATTTCATCTGTTTAATCTGCTGGCAGTGATGCACGATTGTTTCAGATAGTAGTACAAATTTGCAATGGGATGCAGATTTTATGTTTATTTGCTGAGGAAAATTCTGCACTTGCCAACTAAAAGTTCCCGAAAGACCCCAAACTCTGGAACTCTCTGCCTCAATCACTCCGCCTTGTCCCCTCCTTGCCCATCTTCAGATCGCACGTGAAGACCCTCCTCTTTGACCGCATCTATCCCCCCCTTCTCTCCCAGGCTCAGCGTTAGCCTTGACCACTGTTAAGCGCTCTGAGACGCTACCCTCGTGAAGGGAGCCAAAGTCGTTGTTGGTGGTGGTGTTGTCGTCGATATAACACTTTATCGCATTGTCAAAACATCTCAAGATGCTTCACAGGATTTCACTGTAAAATTACTTTAAACACTGTTAGGTTGTAGGCAAATGATTAGCATTTTACAGTCACATTAATTTTTTTTTCACCTTTTACAGATATTATTAAGTCGAATTCCCTGCAGGAATTATGTCTCGCATTTTTTTTTGGTTTAATTAATTGAGAACAAGCAAGTTCCTTAATAGGTTCTGAAAATGTATCCCGTTTGCCGGGTTCAACAAGTTTTATAGAACCTCACTGTTAGGGAAATAATTAGATGCAAACAAACATTTGGAAAAAAGATATTTAAAAAGTCAACTAGATTCACTGTGCAGAATAACAAATATTTCTCTCTTCCTATATTCAAAGTGACAACAGAAGGCTTTATTGTGGGAGCGATCTTAACCATCTGCCAGTTCAATTCTCTTAATTAAACTGTATCAGATGTTTCATAGAAGTATCAAATTAAGCATAGAGAAAGAGAGCTTTGATGAGTCAAACGTGATTATTGTTGATGAACTAATTTTATTGTCAAAGAAATGCATAACCAGAAGTATTCCCTTATCTGTGAATTCACTATAAAATAACAGGTCAGAATCCTAAACGGTATTTTTCTAAAATAAGTTGTAAAATAAGAATTCTGACTGTACTTTTAACTTAGCCTTCCTGAAAATGCACACAGTATAATCTGATTACTTAGCAATTTCAAAATGTTTTCAATTGAAATGTGCTTTAAATATTATTGGTCACATGCAGTTTCATTTAAATATATTCTACTATAATATTATTAATTGTATTATATATCACACTATTATATTATTAATCATCATGCTATTGTTCACCTATTCCATGCTGTGAAGTAATGGAGTCCTGCATTTGGGAAACTATTATAAAGTTATTTTTNAAAGAGTTGTAGCTACACAACATACTGACAAATTACTAAGGTTTCAATCTTGCCCGAATAACAAGGGCGCGCAGACAATAAATATTTAACGAAAAGGGTAACAGTGTTGGTTGCAGTTATAACTTCCTTGAATTGGATGGTACATAGTACTGAATTTATAATGTATAAATGAGGCGTGTCTTGTTGATATATTGCATTTTACTCAGACCAAGTAATGAGTGTTAATGTTCCAGCAAATAGCAAAGTGGAAATTTACTAGAAATCTACACGCCATTGGCACACCATTTTTACTTAAATATTTTACATTCAAACTTTTTGTTCCTTTGCAAAGAAAAAGTCCTGTGCAACAATTTGATAAAGATCTGCGATTCGAACAAATAAATAATATAAAGCTGTATTATTTATCACTGACAAATATGCAATTAGCTTCCACGTTTTGCCCACAAAATATACAGTCAAATCACTTTACAGTATATTCTGTGAAGAGCTTTGAGACGTCTCAAAGACTTGATAAGGTGCTACATCAAATGCAAGGTTTATTATTATTATTATACATCTGTCACTCGACCCAAAAATATCTTCTAATCCCCTGCTTTGCTTTTTCTTGCCATTACTGCCCTGTAGTCTTACAACAACGAATAAAACAACCGTACGTTAATTACATTACCCTTTCCCTTCAGTGTTTTCAAAATCATGCCACTAAAACTTCTCAAGTCTTTTCTCTGCGAAAACAACGCTTAATTATCAGTCTATCCTCATAACTTCAGGGTTTGAAGCCTAAACTTCATGCCTGTCACTTCTATCTGAACGCCCTCCAATGTGTTTCTGTAGCCAGAATGCCCAAATTGGACACATATTCAAAACGTGGCCTTACGAGGTTTAAAAATAATTCTGTTTTGATTTATTAACCGACGCCCTGGGGGTGCGTTCCAGTGTTTGATTATTCTGGTTGACAACAGCCTTGCATAAACAGGGTACTTTCAGTGAACGTGTTTTCTTCTGAAGTGGCCGGGAACACTCAGCGGGTCGGGCAGCATCTACGGAGAAAGGAAAGTGAGTCGACGTTTCGGGTCCACGACCCTTCGTCAGATCTTTCCTTTCTCCTTGGATGCTGCCTGACCCGCTGAGCGTTCCCGGCCACTTCTGTTTTTGTTTCAGATTCCCGGCATCTGCAGATTTTTGGGGTTGCGTTTATATTTCGTTCTGCGTTGATGCTGCTGGGAGCAAAAACAAACAAAAAAAAACACTCAATTTTCATATGGTACACACACACACACACACATCAGTACAAAAAAAATAGTATTTTATTTAACAAAGTTTAGCATATCCTGTTCGAAGTTTCCCCCTGGAGGTGGAGTCCTGTGGTTTTAGTGGTGAGAGCACTCGATTCGCAAGCGAGAGGACCTGGGTTTGATTCCCACCCAGGGCGAAACGTTCAGATGTAATGGAGAATCAGTTCCCAACAAAATAAGGAGTAATTAATGAGGGAACGTATTTATCTCTTTGAGTAGGACAATACCCTCTATTATCAGGCAAACAGGATCCACCCCTTTGGGGGTCGGATTGCATATTCCATCCCAGACACGTAAATTTCCGCGTGTTAAGTGGCGTACGTTAAACTCTTCGTCCGATCTGGATTCCGTTAAGCACGGCGATGGGCTTCCGCATGTGTCAAGACACCCGACTGACCAAAAATATCAATTAGGATATCTATTTCATACGATAATTTGACCCTTTTTGAGACAGACCTGCCCTTTGCCTAATCAGCTTATTTGGTATTATCCTTACCTTTGCAGCTACGTATAGGACAGACGTAAATGCAATTTAATGAGAGAAAAAATGGGTTGGTCAATAAAAAATAATCCACGACTCCTTCCTCCCACCACCCCTGCCCCGTCTACGTGGGTGACGTTTCGGCGGGTGGGAGGCCACACCATCGGTGTAACCTTTATTTCGGTTCGGTTACGAAATTGCTGGAACGGACGGCAATTTCCCCCATTGCAGACAATCGATTCCGAGCCGGGAATCATGTCGAGTCCGTCTCGTCAGACCCCCCCCCCCCCCCACCCCCACCGACACGTCTCGTCTGCGCGGGTGAGCGCGGTTACTGACGAGGCGGGTTGGGGGGGGGGGGGGGGGGGCTCGGTGCCGCGGAGGCTGCTTCGAGGCCGCGCCGTCGGAGTCGCCGTCGCCGTCGCTGCGAAGGCAGAAGTCCGTTCAGTCGGAGGTCAATGACGTTTACGATCCCTGTGGCGCTGCGTTAAAGCTCTGACGCGACGTTCCCACCAACGAGAGGCAGAGCGTCCGGCGGGAGCTCCACTCCACCATCAGCAGAGCCCCCGCGTCTGGGAGCGCCTCCGAGGGGTCATACAACAGCGTTACTTCATGCGCAACGTTACTCTGAACGGGAAACACGTCACTGTTACACAGTCTCCGTTAGTAACAGAGTATCAGACTGACACTATTACTAACGTTATTACTGACAGACTGATACTGAAACTGCTGCTGACAGAATGACATTGTTACTGACATTGTTACTGATGCTCTGACATTGTTACTGACATTGTTGCTGATGCTCTGACATTGTTGCTGACATTGTTGCTGATGCTCTGACATTGTTACTGACATTATTACTGATGCTGACATTGTTACTAATGCTCTGATACTGTTACTGACGTTGTTGCTGATTGTCTAACATTGTTACTAATGCTCTGACACTGTTACTGTCGTTGCTGCTGATGCCCTGACATTGTTACTGACGTTGTTGCTGATGCTCTGACATTGTTACTGACGTTGTTGCTGATGCTCTGACATTGTTACTGACATTATTACTGATGCTCTGACATTGTTACTAATGCTCTGACATTGTTACTGACATTGTTGCTGATGCTCTGACACTGTTACTGACGTTGTTGCTGATGCTCTGACACTGTTACTAATGCTCTGACACTGTTACTGACATTGTTGCTGATGCTCTGACACTGTTACTGATGCTCTGACACTGTTACTGACATTATTACTGATGCTCTGACACTGTTACTGACGTTGTTGCTGATGCTCTGACATTGTTACTAATGCTCTGACACTGTTACTGACATTGTTGCTGATGCTCTGACATTGTTACTAATGCTCTGACATTGTTACTGACATTGTTGCTGATGCTCTGACACTGTTACTGACGTTGTTGCTGATGCTCTGACACTGTTACTAATGCTCTGACACTGTTACTGACATTGTTGCTGGTGCTCTGACATTGTTACTGACATTGTTGCTGATGCTCTGACACTGTTACTCTGGGCCTGTGACTGGCGCACGCGCAGTCGGCGGTGCGGTCGGTGTGACGTGGTTTCCGGTGACGCTCACAGTCATGGCCTCGCGCTCGGCTCCCGGCGGCTTCATCATCACTGTGGGCGGCGGCATAGCGGGAGCCACCTGTGCCGAGCAGGTGAGGGGGGGAGAGGGGAGGAGGGGGGGGGAGTGAGGGGAGGGGGGAAGGGGGGGGAGTGAGGGAGAGGGGGGAGGGGGGGAGGGAGGGGGATAGTGAGGGGAGGGGAGGGGGGAGTGAGGGGGGAGTGAGGGGAGGGGGGGGAGTGAGAGGGGGGGAGTGAGTGAGAGGGGGTGAGGGAGAGGGGGGAGTGAGGGAGAGTGATGGGAGGGGAGGGGAGAGGGGGGAGTGAGGGAGAGGGGATAGTGAGGGGAGAGGGGGGGAGTGAGGGGAGAGGGGGGGAGTGAGGGAGAGTGAGGGGAGGGGGGGGAGAGGGGGGAGTGAGGGAGAGGGGATAGTGAGGGGAGAGGGGGGAGTGAGGGGAGAGGGGGGAGTGAGGGAGAGTGATGGGAGGGGAGGGGAGAGGGGGGAGTGAGGGAGGGGATAGTGAGGGAGAGGGGGGGGGAGTGAGGGGAGAGGGGGGGAGTGAGACGGGGGGAGTGAGGGAGAGTGACAGACACCTCAGTGTCAGTCCAAGCAGCTGTAAGTGTGATTCTCCTCCTGGGGGGAGGGGGTGATCGCGGGGTCTCCTCGGAGCGGCCCCGGCCCCGGGGTGACGGCCTGGCCTGGCCGCACGATGATAGAGACGAGCCCCCCCCCCCGCACAGCCCCCCACCGCCCCCCCCCCCCCGCACAGCCCCCCCACACCGCCCCCCCCCGCACAGCCCCCCCACACCGCCCTCCCCCCCCGCACAGCCCCCCCACACCGCCCCCCCCCCCGCACAGCCCCCCACACCGCCCCCCCCCCCGCACAGCCCCCCACACCGCCCCCCCCCCGCACAGCCCCCCCACACCGCCCTCCCCCCCGCACAGCCCCCCACACCGCCCCCCCCCCGCACAGCCCCCCCACACCGCCCCCCCCGCACAGCCCCCCACACCGCCCCCCCCCCCCGCACAGCCCCCCCGCACCGCCCTCCCCCCCGCACAGCCCCCACACCGCCCCCCCCCACGCACAGCCCCCCCGCACAGCCCCCCCACACCGCCCCCCCCCCAGCGCTCTGTGCGGTCTCTAGACCCCGGGAGGGGCGCAGTGTCCTGGCTCGGCTCATCGGCGGGACCTGGACCAGTCACTGGGTGGGGGGGGGGCAGGGAATCCTCCCCTCAGCTCCTGGTGACCGCAGCCAATGCCCTGACTAACTAGCGGAAGGGGGGGGTCCTCGCCGGACAAGCGGCGGGAGGGGGGGGAGCTTGGCCAGACAGCGCTCTCTCTCGATGGTCAAGCTGCGCGGTTTTATCTGGTCAGACTCCAGGAGTGACCCCGATGCACACTCTGGGCTCGCCCAACCCCCCCCCCTCCCCCACAAGCCTGGCCTCTCGCCCAACCTGCGCCTAATACTCTCCGGAATTAGGTAAGCGTGGAGTGGGGGGGGGGGCGTCCCTCCAGGGAGAGAGAGAGAGAGAGAGCGCATATTCCATACCAACACTCTCCCTCTGGGGTCTCCACGGTGTCGGTTGGGATGTATGGGATTCTCAGTTGGGTTCGGAGACTCTTTTAAGCAACGGCGATGGGTTTCCCCGGGTGTCAGACACCCACCCGGCCGACCCCTCTCCCCCCCACCCCCCCCCCCCCCCACACACACGCACACACACCTACACACAAAGCCGCTAGAATCAACCGCGACCACTATCATTGTTATTGATTTTTTTTTCAAATCGAAGTTTAATTTTAAAAAAAAAAGTTCCCTTTGCGTTTTGGCGCCCGCTATTACTGCAGAGACCACCTACCCCTCACCCCACTGTGCTCGCTCACGGTTTGGAAATGACACCTGATTTACTTCCTCTTTGCGTTAGGCAAGTCGTCGAATTCGGCCTTGAACGTAAAAAAATATTTGTATTTTTTCTGTGGTGCTTAAAAGAAACCGATGGAAAAACAGCTCTGCAATTGATGATAATAATAATAATAATAATCCTTGCATTTGTTATAGCGCTTTTCACGTCGGGAGGACGTCCCAAAGCGCTTCACAGAACACACTGTAAAGTGAATTGACTGTATATTTGTGGGCGAACGCGGCAGCCAATTGTGCACAGCAATGTCCCACAAACAGTCGTAGATTAAAAATGACCAATTTATTATTGTTTTTGGTTTTGGAGGGATTATTATTAGGCTCTGTGTGGAGTAAGGAAACTTGCCCGAGGTTTGGCCCTCTGCCTGGAATTGAACTCAGGTCTCTCACTTGCAAAGCGAGTGCTCTAACCACTGAGCTACAGGACTCCACATAAGAATAAAATGAATACAGTGACAATGACATTGTCGAGATGTCTCAAAGCACTTGCAGGCTATGTAATTATTGGATCTTGTGGGCAAAACGTGGCAGCCAATTGCACACAGTGTCCCACAGACGGTCGTGGATTGAAACTATAAAGACTGATGAATTGAGGATTGGACACTCTGAATGAACAACAAGCAAGCAACAAATAATATTTCTTTCACATCAGGAGGACATCCCAAGGAGCTGATGTTCTGTTATTGTAAACATACGGTCAATTCACTTTGCAGTCTATTCTGTGAAGCGCTTTGAGACGTCGAGAAGAGTGAAAAACGCTATATCAAATGCAGGGTTTATTATTATTGCTGAAAACTACCAGCACCAGTATGGCTTCACGTGTAAGTCGTTGTGTAGAATCCCCAAGGCCTCTAAGGCAGAAATATTGTACGTAAGAAGCGAACGAGGCCTGAAATAGAGTCCAAAGCACAACAGCAATATTTATATTTTTCTCAACATTAAAAAAGTTCTTAATTGTGTTAAAAGCCACTTCTGTTGCACTGACGGAAATGATTACAGTGATTTATTTTTCTGTTTTTAGCTGGCTGCACAGTTTCCATCAAAAGAGACGCTTTTAATCACTGCATCGTCAGTTATTAAAGCCGTAACAAATCTCAGACAGGTAAGAATTGTGTATTTAGTTCATTCAGCGCGTGAAATCATCTGCGGTTGAAATGTTCACTCCCACTCGTGTGAACCATCTGTGCCTTTGCTTCTAAGTTGTCCAGTGTATACGATGGTTATTTATTGGTCTCTATCACCAATTGTGTTTTCCTTATTGTGTTCATAGGTTTCAAAAACATTGGAAGACTTTGAAGTGGTAGAGAGACCAACTCATGTGCTTCAAGAGCGCTACCCCAATATTAAAGTGATTCATTCTGCAGTCAAAGAACTGGATGCAACGCAACATGTAAGAAACATTTTTAAAGGAAAATACTTTCACTTGCCAAGTAAAGAGTTGGCAGTTGGATACTGAATCTTGTTGAAGTATTAAATGCCTTTCGTGTTTATTTCTTTGCTTAAAGCTATTTCTTAAAACAGCATAATTAACGTTGTCAAATACGGACTGTTCGTTTTTAGTCAAGCTGAATAAATCACAAACTTTCATCTGATGTATTCAGCTCGACTAAAAATGTTTGAAGAGTCACCTTAGACCTATTCAGTGAATTGAACCTTTTTTGGGGGAAAAAAAACTTCAATTATTTCTGCAGTTAATAGGTCCTCGAGAAAGAGATATGTGTAAATTGCAAAATGGCAAAGATTTCTGCAGCGCCATCATTTTATTATTTGATTAATAATAATAACTCGGTATGTTTCAAATGGTAGGGAAGGTGTGTTGCACTTTTATGTATTCCTCATTTTGTCATTTTAATTTATTTCTAGAAAATTTGGACGGAAGATGGTGAGGAATATAACTATGAGAAGCTTTGTATATGCGCAGGAGGCAAACCAAAGCTAATAATCCATGAAAATCCATATGTTTTAGGAATTCGGGATACTGATAGTGCTCAGGTAATAACAATTTTTTTTGCGCAATCTAATTTGCACAAATCTCTTTTCATTAAAATAAAGGATGCAACTACTTCTTATTAAATGAAAATTGCTGCATAAATTGTGGACTGAAGTATTAAATGATTTATCGTGGCCAGCCTGGCTCCATTGGTGGTATACTCATCTCTGAAGGCTGTGACTGTGAATTCAAGACCCAGTAGAGACTTTGCACTCACATCGGCTCGGCTCAGGTGGACATTAAAGTTCCCATGGCGCTTTTCAAAAAGAGAAGGGAGTTTCTCCTTTTGTCCTGGCCAATAATCCCCCAAATACAATTGGAAACTCACTCAATTGTTGTTTGCAGGACAACTGTGCACAAAATTGGCTGCCATGTTTTGTCACTGCTCGTTACAGTGAGCACCTATCATTTCTTCGAAGGCCAACAGGTTTTCTAAATAATCTTAGGATCCTAGATTACATACTTTTATGGCTACAGTCCACATTATCAGCATGACTAACCGATTGGAAGGGTTCTGCTTCAGTTACTGTTTCGTTGCTGTATTAGTTTTCTGACGTATTTGTACAAAGTTATCGGATTTTGATACCCAGAATGGTAGGACACAGCCTTTACGATTGCTATTTTTCACCAGAAAAACATAGAGTCCTGTGGAGTCCTGTAGCTCAGTGGTTGAGCACTCGCTTTGCAAGCGAGAGACCTGAGTTCAATTCCAGGCAGAGGGCGAAACCTTGGGCAAGTTTCCTTACTCCACACAGAGCCTAATAATAATCCCTCCAAAACCAAAAACAATAATAAATTGGTCATTTTCAATCCATGACTGTTTGTGGGACATTGCTGTGCGCGATTGGCTGCCGCGTTCGCCCACAAATATACAGTCAATTCACTTTACAGTGTGTTCTGTGAAGCGCTTTGGGACGTCCTCCTGATGTGAAAAGCGCTATATCAAATGCAAGGATTATTATTATTATTATTATTATAGAATCATACAGCGCAGAAGGAGGCCATTCAGCCCATCGTACCTGTGCCGACTCTTTGAAAGAGCTGTCCAACTAGTCCCACTTCCTCGCGCTTACCCCAGAGTCTGCATAGCATCCAGATCAACCTTTTGACTAGGGAAAGGTATGCCAGGAGACCTGAAGAGCAAGAAAACAGCATTTGCTGCAGAGATTTAATAGTTGATTTGTACTTTATCTTATAGGAATTTCAAAAACGTTTGGCTAAGGCCAAAAGGATTACAGTTGTAGGAAATGGAGGCATAGCATTGGAATTGGTGTAAGTATTGCAGCCGTTTTATTTTTAGTACTTTTCAATGATATTGTGTTATCTAAAAATGTCACACCGTGGCTGGAAGAATAGCATAGTTTGCAGCCGTTTACACAGTTCCATTATCTATCTCTATCTTGCAATCACTGCAGATTGTGAGTGAATCAATTTTATACCAATAGAGGCAGAGTTTAGGCATATTATTTAGTGAAGGGGAAACCACATTAATCCGTAATGTTAGCCATTGGAAGCTGGATATTGCTGGCTGGATGGCTGAGTGTATACACCATGCTGTACTGAAGGTGCAATACTTATTTTGTTAATTTACAGCTGTAAGGGTTTGTATTTTGTCAGCTCAAGGATGAAAAGAAGATTAAGAGGTAAACCTGTTAGAAATACTTTAACACGAGAGCAGCTGAATTTTTATCAGGTTGTCCAATATGGAGTTCTGAGCTTTCTGCTGAAACTGTTGCCCTTTGTGTTTTTAGCTATGAAATTGAAGGATGTGAAGTAATTTGGGCGATAAAAGATAAAGCTATCGGCAATACTTTCTTTGATGCAGGAGCAGCTGAATTTCTGATTCCTCATCTCAGGGCTGAGAAGCCTGAGGCAGCTCTACCCTGTAAAAGGACAAGGTACACAATGGAAGGTAATTCCAAAGATGTAACAATAAAGAATGTGTTTAGTATAAAGCTTTTATTCTTTATTCTAAATGTCGTATTTATACATGACCACTATAGACCAAATCCCAAGTAAAAATGTACACCTTAGTGAGTACATTTTGTAAAGAATATGAACATCTAAACCAAAGATTATTTTAATTAATAATAAATAATAAGAGCCCTTGCATTTGATACAGCACCTTATCACATCGTTGAGACGTCTCAAAACGCCTCACAGGATATATTGTAAAGTGAATTGAGTGTGTGTTTTGTTAAGATAAAACACCAAGTTGTTAGGTGATTACTGATCCCAGTAGATGTCTGTTTAACTATGAATTGTTTTGAATTTGGATTCAGAACGGATAAGGAAAGGTATTCCTGAAGATGAACAACATGGCAGTGCTTTGGGACCAGACTGGCATGAGGGCATGGAACTCAAAGGAACTAAAGAGGTTAGAGCTGGTTAAACATTTCTTTTGTATGTTTCTTATTTTTCTGCATATTAAACATTTGAAGTCTTGGTCATCAGATCTCTCACAAAGTCCATGTCGAGTTTGAGTGCGAACTTGATAGGATGTACCTACAAGAAGAGTTTGCAGTATTGCAGAAAACCTCGCTGGCATTCCCTGAAAAAGGTTCTGTTGAAGGAAAAGAAGCAACTGCAGAAGGTATTTCAGAAAGACTTTAATTTTGGTATGTTTTCTGTCGTGACTCCATTCTTTAAGGCCACCTGTAAATAGTGACTTGTAATGACAATTCCAACAGTGGGAGTCTTAATTTGCGAGTAAGGTTAACTATTTGTGCAAAATTTGTTGTCAGTGCTTTTAATTTTATGAAATCATCAACCAAAAAAGGATTACTGGTGATTCAGATTATAGATTTTGTATATACTTACGTATTTGTATTTAGTAGTTGTGTATATACAGTATTCTTTTGCACACAGTTAACCCAAGCTCCAAGTGTGAAATGTATTCCAGCCAACATCAGCCTGAAGTCTCGTGTTTTTGTGCACCTAATTTGCTTTGGTGCTATCTAATGGTCAGATTTGTTGCTAAGACCACTTCAATAACAGTGAAACAAAATGCAATATGGCAGTAATGAACAAAGCAACTTTAAGTGCTTTATTCATGAGTCCAAGTAGTGCAGTGGAGTAGTAATCTCTTCTGTACATCTGAAACCTCCTCGGATAAATTCTGTTCTAGAATGATGGAATGGAAATCTCCTTTCTTTGTAAGCTTTAGAAAAATGTAAATTATAATAGTCCTTTATAAAATCGGTTTAGGCTGTGTTAGCTCATTTGCTAATGTGGTGGATCTCAGAGCAGAAATATCTAAAAATTGTCAATTTTATAATAATGTCTAGTTTGGGAAACAACTGAACCAATCTTATAAGATATGCAATATTAGAGCAAATATTAAGGGTTTGAATGTACTTGTTCCTTTCAGAATATTGGCCTGTTTATATACAGTTGTCAAATGGAAGAATCTATGGGTGTGATTTTATCGTAAGTGCAACTGGCGTAGCACCAAATATTGAACCGTTCATCAAAAGCAACACAGTAAGTAAATATTTAGGGTCCAGCCATTTGACTATCACAGTGTATTTGCTCTGCTCATTTAGGCCAAGTCGTCAGCAAATTTTCTTTCTAATCAATGTCCTTATTTCTTAAAAAGTTTTGCCCACAAAACACGCAGTCAATTCACTATACAGTATACGCTGTGAAGCACTTTGAGACGTCTCAAAGACGTGATAAGCGCTATATCAAATGCAGGGATTATTATTATTATTCACTGCTATCTCCCTCTTAAAATATCTCATTCAGTCTCCCCAGCTCCACTGCCCACAAACTACAATGGATTCAGACCTCGCTGCCTGTGTTCTCACACATGCAAAACTCCGTACCCCCATCTTGCCAGGCTCCACTGGCTCCCTGCCACAGAAAGGATCAATTTCAACATCCTCTCACTCGTCTACACGCCCTTTCACACTTCATTCAAAACATTTGAAAGCGTTTTAATTCTCGTTGCTTGGAGAGTATAAGGACAACTGTTATAACGCATTCACAAAACAGAACCTGCACTACTGTGTACTAATACAATCTATTTTTCATTGTTTTTACATGATTTTCAACAATCGACACTCTTATTTGCAGTTTGATGTAGCAGAAGATGGAGGACTTAAAGTAGATGAACACATGCGTACTTCACAGCCAGACATCTTTGCTGCTGGCGATATCTGTACGGCCTCCTGGGAACCTAATTCTCTTTGGCAACAGGTACAACAGATATTAAATATGCCGCTTGCTATTTGTCAGATATTGTTCTTATTTTACATAAAATATTAAATGTTGGTGGAGTCCTGTAGCGTCGTGGTTAGCGTCTCATAAGCGAGAGACTCGGGTTTGATTCCCGGGTGGAACAAAACCTTAGGCAAGTTTCCTTACTCCACATACCTCTGTTTACCTACAGTAAGTAGGTACTTTAGATTGTTAGTCAATTGGTTGGTGAATCACTTTCTGTGGTAATAAACACTCCACCCCCCCCCCACCCTGCCCCCCTCCCCACCCAAAAAAGAAATAATAATTTGGTCACTCAATCCACTACTGTTTGTGGGACGCTACTGTGCGCAATTGGCTGCTGCGTTTCACCCACAAAATATACAGTAAATTCACTTTACAGTATATTTTGTGAAGAGCTTTGAGGCGTCTCAATAACATGATAAGTCGCTGGATCAAATGCCAGGATTATTATTGTAAATTTTTAGCCAGTATTTTTATTACATTATATTTCAGATGCGACTGTGGACACAGGCTCGGCAGATGGGATATTATGCAGCAAAATGTATAGCTGCAGAAATATCAGGAGAATCTATCGAAATGGACTTCTGCTTTGAACTGTTTGCTCACGCTACCAAATTCTTCAATTTTAAGGTAATGTTGAAAGGAGCTATTGCAGAATTCATTTTTAAAAAATGCGAATTCAGTGGAGTTGCTTATAATAATTCTCCTGCCTGGGATATGAGGTGTTGTGGCACTAAATAAGTGCCTTGGGCCGTCCTCCCAATGTGAAAGGCGCTATATAAATATAAATTTATATAAGAGTCCTGTGGAGTGTTGGTTAGAGCACTTGCCTCACAAGCGAGAGAACCTGAGTTCAATTCCCAGGCAGGGCAAAACCTTAGGCAAGTTTCCTTACTCCACACGCCTAACTTGGTCACTCAATCCATGACTGTTTGTGGGGACGCTTCTGTGTGCAATTGGCTGCCACGTTTTGCCCACAAAATACACAGCCAATTCACTTTACAAAATATTCTGTGAAGCGCTTTGAGACCCGGGTAACGTAAAACTTCTAGGCAAGTTTCCTTACTTCAAACACCTCGGCTTACCGAGCAAGTGTTAACGTTGATACGTTAAATAGCTTAAGACTGCAAAAACACATTTTTGTTAAGGAATAGGCTATTAACTTGTGGATTTTGTTTTGTCTTTCAGGTAGTGCTATTGGGAAAGTATAATGGCCAAGGTTTGGGCGCAGATCAGGAGTTATTGTTGCGATGCACGAAAGGCCACGAGTATGTGAAAGCTGTGATGCAGAATGGAAGGATGATGGGAGCTGTGCTTATTGGTGAAACTAATTTGGAAGAGACCTTCGAAAATCTGATTTTAAATCAGATGGATCTTTCCTCATATGGAGAAGAGTTGCTTAATCCAAACATTGACATTGAGGATTATTTTGATTGAGCTGAGCTAATATGCAACACATAAGTTAACCTGCACTTTATTTCCCGGGTTGATTCAAAAGCACTGGTGAGGATGGGTTGTAAATGAATGATTTTTATTTTTGATAAGGTATCATCACGTGATTGATTTTCAATGTCAGCCGTTTGCATTGGATTGGATTCTATCGAAAAAAGCAAATGATTGCTTGGAATAATGGTCCGTGCTTGATCCTCGCTTCTAACAGGAAAAGAGCGCGCAGTTGTCACAAGTGAGAGGACCCCGGTTCGATTCCCGAGCTGGGCAAAATATTAGGCAAGTTTCCTCACTCCACAAGCCTCTGTTTACTTAGCAGTAAGTAGGAACCCATTAGTCGATTGGCGGATCTCTTTTCCGGGGGTAATAATCCTTTAAAAAAAGAAATAATAATTTGGTCACTCAATTATCGATTGTTGGCTGCCCCGTTTCGCCCACAAAACATACAGCCGATTAACTGCAGTATATCCTGTGAAGCGCTTTGGGACATTTCAAAGACATAATAAGGCGCTGTATCAAATGCAAGGATTAACATTATTACTGTTCAAGTCACGGATGAGGCATTGTCACTGCAATGACCTGCCTGTCACTGCCAAACTTGACAAACTGTGTCTTACAGAGATCATTTCATCATAAATAGGGGAAATCAGTTTGGAATCTGCATTGAAAGCAAACTATTTACCCCATCCAAGTCATGACTGTTAAATCGTTAATAAGTATCCGACTTTTTCCAGTTTTATTTGTACACAGTAATTGTTTTCAATTGCAGAGTATAAAATTAAAAAAAACACATTCTGGTGTTAATCAACAAAAATTGATTTGTAAATCAATTATTCCCTCCCATATTCATCACCATTGCTGAATGGGTTATGGCAGGATGCTATGTTTACAGACCTTATAGTGTATCTTTGTCATTAAACATAGAGTTTACTGTTGCTGTTCCTTTATTTTGAGTTTTACCTGCAAGCATTTGGTCCAGCAGATTTACCAACTTAATAGGCAATGCTTAGGAAAAATTAAACTGATTTTTTTATTGATGAAGTTGTCCTGATCCACAATTTATCCACATAAATCTGATCATAATGAATTGTCATTATTATTATCTATGCAGAGTATAATCATTGACGCATCTACTACAGTGGTCGCTCACAGTAGAATTTATTTCAAATCAAATTACCTGCACACATTCATATTAAGCTTAAATAGTTAATTACTTATGGCAGTGTGGTTCTATAAGCCAAGGACAATCACTGTTGGCACAGTACAATCTGTATGTACACAAAGTTCAATAAATTACCAATGATTAGCAAATGTTGCCCAAAAATAACATTTATGGGGAGCATTATCACAAATACAAATGTTTAATAAGAACACAAAATAGATGGTTACAGAAAGTAAATATATATTTTAGTAAATCATTAACGAAGTAAAAGAATATAATGAAATGTAAACGTTATTCAGTCACAACCTGTCCTGCGGGTAAAACACTCGGACCATTTTATTCTCAATAACCGTTGTGAATCCAAGTGCTGTTGGAGCTATTCCGTGTTAAAGAAAAATGAATCCCATGGTGACAGCTGGTTTGCAAAAAGGTCTGGACCTTCTACCAGATGATTTCTTCCCGGAGATAAAACAACAGGTAGAGTTGGCTGCTTCTACGATTTCAACATATGGAGGGAAGGAAGGTCACGATAGACATGTTTTAATTATACAGACAATTCTCAAGTCTCACGGGCAATTGCAATTGTTTCTTGATGCTTTGAACGAGGTAGTTGGTCAAGGACAAGCAGCAATTGCAGCAGACGCAGCTACCAGGGCAAATATCTCTAATTGGTTGAATAAGAACATAATAATAATAATAATAATCCTTGCATTTGATATAGCGCTTTTCATGTCAGGAGGACATCCCAAAGCGCTTCACAGAACACACTGTAAAGTGAATTGACTGTATATTTGTGGGCGAACGCGGCAGTCAATTGCGCACAGCAATGTCCCACAAACAGTCGTAGATTGAAGATGACCAATTTATTATTGTTTTTGGCTTTGGAGGGATTATTATTAGGCTCTGTGTGGAGTAAGGAAACTTGCCCAAGGTTTCGCCCTCTGCCTGGAATTGAACTCAAGTCTCTCACTTGCAAAGCGAGTGCTCTAACCACTGAGCTACAGGACTCCACAATTAATAAATACAATTAAGGGGTAAAGTAACATAATACATACAAGAACTCGGACTGTTTTAACACCTTCCCGTCATGTTCGTACAAGAAATTGCTGGCAACTTAATTTCCAAAGCAACTAAAGATCTTCGTTAAGTACATAAAGTTATTGACACCAGGTACTTGATTATGTCAATAATACTATTATTGGAAGGGTATGAAGATTATTTTATTGTAGTGGATCAGTAAGGCATTCAGTACCTCTTTAATATATATATATCTATATTTATATGGCAGATTACATGGGTGACCATGTATTATCCCCTCCGTCCTTTACCAGCAACAGTCTCCTCATCTGAGATTTTAAATATGTCATACTTGAAGATAAAATGGACTCGGATCTCAATTATTCTGTAAATTATCTGCATTGATTCATTTATGTTCTTTTTTTTAAAAAATCGAATCAAAAAAAAATAATCATTGAAACCAGAAGAGTTTTATGGTGGCACACTAACTGTTTGATCAAAGGAGAAAACTTTGTGGGAGATTATGTTGCCAGATTACGTACTTGGTTAATCACCCCTCCATTTTTCAGGGGAAGTTGTCCATCGTTGTGAACTATTGAAATTATTACATCCAAATCTTCAGTACATGTATTAGGATATTAGGGGAATTAAAGGATTATATATTCCAAATTCTCTATCGGAGTTTAATGAAAATCGGAAAGTGCCTGAATTTAAACAGGTCCACCTTAGAGAGGAATTGAAATCAACTTTCCCGAATCATTAATGATTAATCATTACCGTGAAAATCAAGAGCAGCACAAAATAATCGTCGTTAAGGATTTAGCCTTGGGATGTCCTCCCGACGTGAAAGGCGCTATAAAATTGCAATTTTGTTGTTGTTGTCATAGCCGCATTATTCAACACCAGTACAACAACAACAGCAATGGCAATTTACATTTATATAGCGCCCTTCATGTGGGGTAATGTCTCAGAGCGCTTCATAAGAGTACTATATAAGAGACATTCTGCACAGTTGTGGATAGCCGTTCCAGAAGTAAAGCTTTATTCTTGGGAAACTGAGAATTTAACGCAGCATAATGGGAGGGGGTGGGTCATCAATTGGCGGAGCTCCCAGCAGATGGCCTGGGATTAATTCTCCAAGATGTGACGTGGGGAAAAAAAGTTGGAACCACCCAATCTGTGGGGACTAACTTCCAAACTAACAGGAGAAACAGATCAAACCAACAAAGTAAGCTCCAATGTTGCTTGACCTCTCAAATGGACTGCACCTCCAGTGACAACTGCCATCTACCCTCCGCAACTGCAAAATAAAAAGGTAAAACCACCCCACTTATTGTTAACAACGAAAACCACTGAAGGCCACAGCAATTCTTCTCGGAGTAATCGATAACGACAGGCAAAGCGAACACAACCTCAGAGCAAACAACGGAGCTCAGATGTGACAAAGGATCCCAGAACATCACCAAAGCATTCAATTCAAAATAATGAAAAAAAAGAAAACTTCCATTCCGATAACCTGATCTGTTCTGATCACTTTCAACTCTGTCGCTTAATGATTGTGCGTAAATCATGGGCTTTGCAGTGCCTTCTCACAAAAAGGCATAAAAATTCATTATTTGATAAAATAAATCGATTTGCCCACAAAATACACAATCAATTCACTTTACAGTATGCCTGCCTCTCACTACGCCAATGTTGACGACCTATTTTGTTCAGAGACTGTTTCATCGTGAACAGAGAAAGCAAGTTTGGGATTTGCATTGAAAGCAAACTGCTTACCCAGTCCAAGTCACGAGTGTTAAATAAACATTCTACCTTCCCCAGTTTGATTTGTATGCAGTAATTGTTTTCAATTGCAGAAGATAATTAATAAAAACACATTCTGGTGTTAATGTATCAACTAAAATTGATTTGTGAATCAATTATTGACTCCCATATTCATCACCATTGTTGGCTGATATGAATAGTTGTGGGATGCGATGCTTACAGAAGTTGTATTGTGCCTTTGTCATTAAACACGGAGTTGAACGTTGGTTTTTCTTTATTTTGAGTTTTATCTGCAAACATTTAGTCAGGCTAATTTACCAACCCAACAGGCAATCTTACAGAAAAGATGAAACAAATTTTTAGTGAAGTTATCCTTATCCACAACTTATCTACATAAATCTGATTATCGTGAATTGTCAGGTCTGTCTCAAATTTTTGAATATATATATTTAGTCTTCGAGGTTACAATCACAGAATTGAAATTTGAGATTGCAAAGAATTGTGTTTATAAACACTATACACATTTCAACCAGAGTGCCACTTGTCATAAAATGTGGTGATGCTGAGTGATGTACATCTGTGACTTACAATGAGGATAAACATGCAGCACCTGAGTGAGTTAAATAAATTAGCTAAAACTAGCAATTGATTTTAAGGGAGGTCAATTTTAGTGAAGTACATTGGAACAGGAAACTAAATGTACACACATGTAAGACGCTACAGAAATGTAAATTTGTATTGTACCTTCCAAGCACCACGTCCTTGGGTTTTACTTTGAGTTATATTTATCTTAATTTTAAACATGTCAATCGTCTCTTCCCCGGAGAGGAAAGCTCCACCCTGTCCGGTCTCTCTCGGTGGCAGTGTGATGACAGGGAATTGTTTCCTCTCTAAAGCATGTCTTGTTCTTGTGACACATTCTTGTGAAATCCAGTATCTGTTTATCGTACATGAGTAACGTCCACATACAGTCACATAACAAAATATTGGCTGTGACCCAAGAAAGACAGAAAACCATCTAATGAGACGATGTGACATGAATTCTTACATGATAGTTGACTTTTTTCTTACATGGTTTTGACTGTCAATTCAGTCAATATCTAATTTGCAAAGTAAAGAGACTTTGGGACTGTGAACCCATACAGTCTGAGGCTCCAATGTAATGCTAGGAATCTGCTGCATTGGTGGAGGGGCCGTCCTTCATAGAACCAAAGAATTATAGAATTATACAGCACAGAAGGAGGCCATTCGGCCCATCGTGTCGGTGCTGGGAAACAGCACT